TACAGTCTCATCCCCTACCTTTCCTGATTTTAAACCTCGCAATATCCCCTTCCTTTGTTTAAACCGTTGTCACAGTTGTTTAAGCCGTTGTCACAGTTATGCGTGGGTGCAATGAAATTCCTCCAGAAATCCCCCATTTTTTGGCAAGTTTGCCCATCTTTCTGGTATTCTCTGCTTTCACCCAAGATCCATCTGATGTCAGCAATGATATCCCCCTCTTCCCCATCCTCTTCTGGATCTGGCTTGAATTTCTGGCAGTTCCCTGTCAATGCACAGCTACAACCATTCTTGAATCATCTTCAGGCAAATTTTACTTGTGTCGGATGTGAATGATATTGTTGGATAATCTTTAAAAGTCTAGCTATGATCATTTTACTATACACTCCCATAGATGTGAGAAGTGCACTGAGGGTCCTGCGTGTTCTCTGGGCTGGCTCCCAACAGCCCTTTGCAAGGGCCTGAATCCTTCTCCCTCCGCAAATACCCCACCTGAGACAAAAGCTTAGTGAAGCTAAGTCCCCAGCCCAACCTCCTCTCTCCCTGGTGTCAGAGCCAGGACCCAAAGCCCGATGTGCCTAACTCTCAGGCCCATGTTCTTTCCACTCCTCTGATCCTTCGTGTGCTTCTCTGCAGACTAGGAAAGCGGTGGGGAGCATTGAACCACAAAATCAAAATGGACGGGGCAGGGATAAGATACAATTTCACTCAGCCCAAGTAAGAAGCGGGAGGAAGGCGTTATTACGGTTGTCATTTTATAAGCAATTGTTTTTAAAAAATCCAAACAAACACAAAACAGAGAAGAGAATTCACTTGCCCAAGGTCATGAGGCTTGTGTGTGGCGTGAGAATCCAGTCCTGATTCCAAAGCCTCAAAACCGAGAATGAAATGGACATCTCCCCTCTAGCCTCCAACCCCAAGACTCAGGCAGCGGCCACAGAAAGTGAGACTGTGGACATTTCTATGAAGATCTAGGGCCCCGGCACCAGGCCCCTGCTAGCCCATAGGGCCCATTAGGAGAAGGTGCAGCTCAACACCAGGGGCGCAGATCACAGCTCAGCCTCGCCGGGTGCCTGTCGGGGCTCTAGTGCAGTGATCAGCCTGCACATCAGCAGCCGCCCTACCCTGAGCACCCCAGACTCCTGTCAGCACAGCCGTAGAGAGTCACTTTGACCAGATGGTCAGTGGGCCGCATCTGCCCTCCGTGGGTACAAGGCAGGCAAAGCGGCTGGGCCTCTGCAAATGCATGGTGCTGGAACAACCTGGCTTTCGTGGGGCTGCCCAGTCCACTTCCATTCGCTACGCCCCAGGCTCCTATGAGCCAGTCCTGGAAACCGACGGGAAGGGGTTGTAACTTTCTGGGAGCATCTCGACTTCCCAAGTCTGCAGTCTTGTATTTCAGTCAGGGGGGCCCCCCAGGGGTGCTGGGAGTTGCAACCCCTGCATTCCAGAACTGCTTCCCTGCTGGCAGCCTTCCGGGGCCAGATTAAGAACTGTCCCCTCACCCCCGCCTCCCCCACTGTTCCCAGCCTCCCTGTGAGCCAGAGAGCCAGCCAGGAGGGGACAGCTGCATGAGGACCCTCCGTCCCTCCAGCCACCCAGACTCCCACAACATCAGAACAGCATCGGTCTTGCTAAGAGATGCTCGAGCTGGGAAGCCAGGACCCACAAGGGGGATGTGTCTCACTCCGGACGGACCATACTGCAAATGGTGCACACAACCCAACAACCTGGATAGCCTTCCTGAACGGATAGCCCAGCAGTTGTGCATGTGACTGTGGGAACCCACCTGTGCCACCCCACACCAGCCTCACCGATGGCTCTGGTTATTCTGCGTGACAGAGGTTCAGAAGTGGCAGTCTCAGGGTGGGGGTGGCGGCAGTCTGAGGACACTTGCGCAGGCGTGCCTTTTGCAGAGCAAGCACAGTTCTAGGGGGAGCCCAGCATGTAGCGATTAGGGGAAGCTGTCGCAGGGCGGCTAAGATGACCGGTGTCCTCCTGAGGCTGCACTTGCCTAGCAGCGCCACAGTGTGTGGATTCGATGTCACAGAGCAGCACAAATGGCAACTTCCTCTCTACACCCTGTGTCCACTGGGTTGAGGAACTTTGGGCTGTCGAACCCCAAGAAGGCATTGGCAATCGTGATCATAAGTATTCGTATCTGGGAAAGAGGGGACAAAGGAGTCCTAGCGACATAGGGGTTACAAACCGGGCTGCTAACTACAAGGCCAGCAGTTTGAAACCACGAGTGGCTCCTCGGGAGAAGGACGGGGCTGTCAGTTACACTCTTGGAAACTCAAGGGACAGTTCTACTCTGTCCTATAGGGTCGCTATGGGTCTGCATGGACTCGGTGGCAATGGGTTTGGTTGGGGAAGGGGAGGTGCTAGGTAGACAGAGACCATCTGATGAGCTCCTGGGTGGCACAAACAGTTAAGCATTGCAAAACAAGCCACCCAGAGGTGCCCTGGGAGAAAGACCTGGTGGTCTATTGGCAAAAGATCCTAGCCACTGCAACCTGTGTGCAGGACACTCCCCTCTGACATACATGGAGGTGCCACTGGCCTGAATCAACCAGTAACAGATGGTTTGGTCTTTTTCAGGGCCTTCCCTGGCTGGCACAAGGTGGTGTCGTAGTTAAGAGTTGGGCTGCGAACGGTGTGGTCAGCAGGTCGAAACCACCAGCCCCCTTCCAGGGAGAAAGATGAGGCTTTCTATCCCCATAAAGTTTCAGAAACTCAAGGGACAGTTCTACTCTGTCCTATAGGGTCGCTGTGAGTCGGCGCTGACTCGTTGACAGTGAGTTTGCGCTAAGACAAGTAGTTTGTACTTTGCTACTAACCTAAAGGTTGAAACTACCCGGTGGTGCCAAGGAAGAATGCCATGGCCCTCTTTGTCAGCAAGGTCACAGTCATGGGAAACCCTGTGGGCCCAGTTCTACTTTGAAACGCATGGGACCACCTGGGGTCAGAATTGACTGCAGGCTCTCAGGACTCGGCACCTGCCTCCTGGGCAGAGACCCTGACTTATAACCACTTACAGAGGCCCTCAGAGGGGCCCCACCGGGGAACTAGAGGGGACAAGGAGGGGTTCCCAGGGAATCACCGCCAAGGAGAGCGTCAAGCACCGTGGGTTAAAGTACAGACTGCATGCTGGGTCCACTCCAGCCGTGTGCCCTTGGGCAAGTCACCTAACCTCTCTGAGCCTCCGCTTCCTAACCTGTCAAAGAAGGCAGCTCCTGGCAGCCGCCTCCTCAGTAGCCATAGCGATGGATACAGGGACACCTGTGAGTGCTGAATGTGACCAGACCGTCTTGCTCTTTTGGGAACTTTCTTGGGAAGTTTCCACTCAGGCTTCACCACATTTGCACTGCTTGCTGCGGCGGGAGGTGTGTGTGTTTCCCTTCTCTGGCAGGCTCCTGCCTTGCACGGGCTCTGGCTTCCTCCGATTTTTCTGTAGAAGACCATGTGCAGCACAGTCTTAGTGTAGTGTCTAGCACAAAATACACAGTGAAACACCAGACTTATTGGGCTTTCGGTTCCTGGGTGGTGCCAACAGTTACTAAGTGAATGGCCAGTCCGGAGTTGCCTCAGAAGAAGGGATTCCCGGGTGATTGCTTCCGAAAGGCCACAGTGGAGAACCCCTTGGGGTGCAGTTGTTCTCTGCCACACAAGGGGTCGCTGTGTGTCAGAATCTTAATCAGGCCTACAGGCATCTCCCTTGGGGTCGCACATCGTGATTGACTGCAAAGATAGCAAGCTTACATTCCTAAGCCCCGCACTGAATTTGGTATTTGAAAATCTGGTTCTTTCTGAAAGAGAGCCTTCTAAAGGGTGTGTGCTTCAGACCAAGCCCCGGGATTCACAGACGGTCCCAAAGGGCAGAGCACTAAGCTGTCCCTCTCCCTACACCGGACGTCACAGGTTCTGTGTCATCTCGTCTTCCCTGGAGCTGGACCTGGGGCCTCATAGGCGACAGGTAAATTAGTCGAGGACCCAGGCGACTTTCTTGCTCAACCCTTCCTATCAGTTCTAAGTATCTAGCACAGTGACAGCCCCATTGTACGGCAAGTCAAGAAAGTCAGACCAACAAAAGATAGGAGACTGGCTCAAGGCCCCAGGATCAGCTCAAGGGCCTGAGCAACCAGCGCACTGGATGGCTCCATGGGAGGATAAAACTGTCTGCTCCCGTAAAGATTTACAGCCTCGAGACCCTCTAAGATTTACAGCCTCGGAGACCCTCTAGAGCAGCGGTTCTCAACCTTCCTAATGCCAAGACCCTTTCATACACTTCCTCATGTGGTGGTGACGCCCAACCATAAAATGATTGTCATTGCTTCTTCATCATTGTAACTTTGCTACTGTTATGAATCGGTCGGGTCGTTTGACCCTCAAAGGGGTCTCGACCCACAGGTTGAGAACTGCTGCTCTAGAGGCTCGCTATGGATCAGAATCGACTCGATGGCAATGGATTTGGGTTTGGATAGAAATCCACGATTGGTCACCGGACTGGGACAGGTCTGGGCACCCCAGAATGAACCGGTTCAAAGCCCTGATTGTCTCATGTGGCCCTGGCATGTCCCGGATTTTTACAGAGGAGTCACCAGAAGTTCAGAGAGCCTCCACGGCTTGGCACTCAAAGCCCTCGGGGTCCCTGGGGGCACTGTGGGGCAGGTTTGGACGACTAACTGCCAGACACCGCGATTCTCGAACGCACGAGTCGCTCCGCCGGGGAAAAGACGAAGCTGTCTGCCCCTCTCAGGACTGACAGCCTCAGGACCCCGCACAATGAGGTCGCTATGCGTGGCAGCGAATCGGGACCGCACGGAGCTCAAGAAGGAGAACTCTTTGCCGCAGAAATGAGAAGTCCCAGGGGACCCGAGCTCCTCCGGGAGCCGCTGGGAAGAGAGGGAGAGCGCGGAGGAGCTTGGAGGGAGCAGGTCCTGCAGGTGGCACGGCCCCCCGCGACGGGGCAGGGAGGGGTCGCGGCGGCAGAGGCGGGGTACCTTGGGCGGGAGCGCGAAGAGCACCGGCAGCAGCAGGAGCGGCGTGAAGAACAGCACCAGCAAGCGCCGCGCGCTCCACACCTTCTTGGCCAC